TCTCTCAGCCAGTTATGATCTCTCCTCACCTGTGAAGACCCTGCATGATCATCCCTGCTGGCCTCTGGTCCACTGTCTCCTCCGTGACCCTGCTCTTTCAGTCAAGCGTCTCTCAGTTCACTTGAAAAGTCACGTCCTCCCCGGTGCATGAAACAGCCTGTAATCAGCTGACTGTGAGACTAGAGCTGCCCAATCAAAGTGCAATTGTGGATTGCACAACAATCAGACAGTAGTTGTACACAGAAATATTTGGCTGCACTCCATTTCATTCAACCGGTATGCTGGTCAGGCGGAGTCTGCCCCTCTCCTCTCCTCTCCCCTCTCTGAAGTCTGGCTGCAAACTTCAACTCCGCCCACTCGGTGCGCTGGCTGTTTGAAACTAATATAAAATACTCAGCTGCCAGCCTTTTTTCCAGCTTTTGTCGCTGGCGTGAGAATTGGTTGGGCAGAGTGAGACCGTGAGATGGAAGGTGAATGTGTGTGTCACACGCCAGATGCGTGAGAGTTGGCAACCCTGTTACACTACACCATTAGTGGAGCTCGATTAGCTACAATAATGGATTAATTCCCCCGGCGTCCCACAACGCTGCAGTGAAGCTGTGCTAACTACTACAACTAGCTAATGCTACTAACTTTACTATGAGGCTACAAACATTAGCACATTAGCACTAATGTCTTTTAGCTAGTTAACAGATACCATGGCAAGCTAAAATGATTTTGAAGCTACACCACTGGTTGGCGTGAGTGATGATATAAATGTCGGTGTTTCCCCATTGGCCATTGCTCTTTTGAAATGAATAGGTGCTGACAGGTCTGTATTACATCCTCAGGGGGACATTTGTTCACAGCCATACTGTTTATGACTTCATTCATCTCAAATCGATTGCACGCTCCAATAGTGGCCCATGGCTACACAACCTCCACCAGTCAGAGGAGGGTTGTATTAAATGATCAGTGGGAACAGCTCCAGAGAGAGTAGCTTCCCTCTGAAATGCAATGAACCTGGAGCTTGTGGGGCCCCTGGGGGCTGGGGCCCCAGGACAGTTGGTTATCCAGCCTTGAGCACATCAGATACAGCTACATCGTTTTCAGGGGCGTCGTTTAAGTGGGATTTATACTGCTGCGTGTAATCGACGTTGTACCTACAGTGTCGAGCCTACGCTGCCTACGCTATCAACTCCCGGCTCAATGTTACATCATCCCAGGCATCCCAACGCACCTTTTCAAAACTGCCTACAACCTCTAAAATCAGTGCATTTTGCCCTTTCTGCATAATTTCCTGCTCTACTTCCCTATGGACTTTTTAATGCTGTTGTTCTCTGTAAAGCATCTTTGAGTATGCTGAAAAGCACTATATAAATCCAATGTATTATTATTATTTGTTATAAATGCTCATAACAGAAATAAATAAAATTGATTGATTGATTGAACAGTGTAGGCCACATGCATAGGCTCTGCTGACGCACAGGTATAAATCCGTCTTTAGTCAGCAAAACTTACTCACTCTCCCTCTATGAAGGGATATTTAGATTTAAAGCTCCATGTGATTATAACAAAGTGGTGGCATCCAAGGAAAGATGCTCATATTCACAAATGCACACAGTTAACACTGTAGAGCACACAAAGAGAACAAAATAATAAGAATGGATGGATGGTTTGTTTTTAACAGCATTACCAGTTTAAAGGCAGCATTACCATCAGGGTTTGGCATCTGGCATGGTTTGTTGGTAGTGATATAAAACACATCATCCTTTGTGGCACTGCAATTTTGCACCATGTGGCGTAACACAGGTCAAAAAGTGGTATTTCTGAGAAGTCTTAGTTACAGGATAGAGCCATTCACTTAGCAACTTTATATTATTTACATGTCTAATTACCATAACAGCCCAGTATAATGGTGAATATTCTGGGTTCCTAGTGAGCATGATATTTTAGAGGCCAGGCCATGTTACTTAGCTCTGTCAGGCTGACTGTTGGAGGAATGAAGCTGGTGACTCCCTGGGGTGTTTCTGGGTGTAACACACACAAAGAGAGAACCTTACTGGATGCAGTGCACCCCTCTCTTTCAAGGTCAAAAGAAGAGGTCTGCACAGTATGGACTGATTTTTATTCTTGCCTGCCTCTACAGATGTGCCAACTCAATCCAACACTGCTTTTATCTTGAAAATCAGTCAGAACTGGAGCCTTCTTGGATTTTTTTTAAAATTGTTATTCAAACGTTTAACTAAAAGCACCTTTAGCTGATATAAAATGAAAACAAATTCTTTTAAAAGAAAGACAGCTGCTTGAAGTTGTTTCCATTGGGACTAAAATGGATTTTAAAAAACATAATAGATTTCGTCTGTTTCTCTGAGTCTTTGTCATTTGGCATAGCAACAGATCCAAACCAGATGCTGGAACAACAGGCTTCAGAGTGGCAGTGATGGTGTTACTGTTCACACAACAAGACCATCTATACAAACTATGTAAAGCAGTTTGGAAATCAGATTTGTATGCACACAGTTTACTGGAAGACAGTGCATTATATGAAACATTTGTTTAAACTATTAGCTTCTTAATGTTCATGTGTAAAATTTCATCCCACATCCACCCTGCAGTGATAATGCTGACTGCCCATTCCTCAGCACACTAAATATGTCCTGTGCATGCAACATGTGTTAGTTCCCATGGGATCCTAATGGACCAATTGTCCTCTGGTTAGAAGATGGAACAGGACAGTGAGTCAAAACCTCTGTAAATAACTGAAGCATATACTCAAGTCACTGTGTAGACTTCATCAGCTTGTTTCATTCTTCACTCTTGAGTATGGGGTAGGTGTTTTGGGTGTTATTTGAATGGTTTTATTGGCAGCTTCTTACTGTTTAAACTGCTGTCAGACGTTGCATGTTGCAACTTAATCATGTCTATTACTGCAGCGTTACTTTAGCTCATAGCTGTGAGCTTGATGTATCTACGTATGACACAGGTTTTTACTGTGGCTCCTTATGTTTTGCTGCTTAATTACAGAGTGTGATTGTATGGAGTCCTCATCCTGTCAGGTCAGCAGCGCAGCATCTGGGATGCAGAGGCTGGCAGGGAACAGTCCGTTTCACAGAACTAGGTTGCTTGGAAGAAGCCGCGTAGCTGTCATTGCTGTGGCTGCAGCCACGTAGTGTATGCCTTGAATGCTAACCCTGCTGTGATGTTTAACTCGTTGAAATGAGTTACAGGCAAATGAGCTGTAGCATCAACGTGTGAAGCATTCCTGCTTATGACACATAATTATGCTGTGGAGCTCAGTGAGAGAACTTCTGGCCTTGGCGTTTGTACATGTTGAGAAAAACAGGGTTGCTTGACCTAAATACAGACCAACAGCACAAGGGTGAAAAGATCAAGGTTTTCATCTGTGATTGCATCATTCACTGGAGACTCTTGGCCAAGTTTGATACTGTTGAATATCCTTAGAAAACACAGAGAAGTTTACTCTGAAGGTAAATGTTTTTGTCAATGTTTGTTCAGAGGAGCCAAAAGAATAGTTTCCTCATGAACAGAACATTTTCTGGTTGTGTTGTATGCAACTGGTTTGACACGTGGAGTAGGATCATCTTTGCCAGAGGACACACAAACCACTAAAGTAGGACTTCTCTTATCAATCACTGTCAGGGTTTTTTCCTAAGGTGGAGGTGGTACTACCCTGATCCTGTGTGCACATGTGTATGAATATCGAGCCTTCAACTGGCTCAGGAAAACACATTTTATGATGTTTAAAACTGTACATTTTAGTAACATTGTAGGCCTACATGTAAAAGCCCAACTAGGGACAAGAACTGAAAATTAGCAAAAGCTATAAATTCTCTATGCAACACATGAGTCTCATACTCTGTACTGGAACTATGATAAACTGCATTGTATCTATCAAAAAAAAAAAAAATTATAAGTAACGTATTTTAGGAGTTCTAATAATTGTATGATTGGGAAAAAAAAAAAAAAAATAAACTGTGGCCAAAGTGTTACATGGAGAGTCGGTGGTGTCTATAAGCAATCAATCTATAATGTGAGATCATGGATATTAAATGTTCATCTGCGATTTTCTGTGGTCCAAGTAATATTTGTTTGTAGGGATGAATGATATTGTTTTTTTTGCCAATATCTGATATGCTGATATAACAACTCATGTGACTGATAACCAACACCAATATCGATATTTCTATTTTTGTCCCCACCTAATTTAAGTGATCATCAAGTCTCTTCTGTAGCAGAATTAACATCATATACATGCACACCAGCAGATGGAGACATGAAATAGAATGCTTTTCAATGTATATGTAATATTAATTTAATGTGCAAAATAAGAAAAAGCTGATAGTTCATTTGATTTGCTAAACACTTTTAATGACATCAGTTTTTTTGTTTGGGTTTATGTTATCAGGTCATTCCAAATCAAAAATTTAAAGTGAAGTCACGAGTCATTGTTGTAACCTAGTTGCCAGGAAAAATATGGGCATTGTACGTTTCTGCAAACCACAGATACTTTACATTTGCATGTTACTATGTGTTTTAGAAGAGCTGTGGTTAACGTGAGGTTAGGTTTAGGCACAGAAAAAGTTTGTGTTTTGGCTTAAAATTCCTGCTTTCGTGGCACTGTTATGGCAGGAAACACAGCGATGTGTCTTGACAAAACAACTGCTTTTTGTGGCAACCAGTTTTGTTGTTTGTTTGTCTCAGACAGTGGTCTACAGTGGTCTGCAGCTTTGCAGTCGTCTTGCCTCAGTATCATAATATCCACCATCCCCTCCACCCCCCAGTGACAGTTAGCTCATGTACATCAGTTTATAAATGCTGATAAGATATTTGCAGAAATGTGCAATGCCAACATTTTTCTGGTGACTGAGCTGATTGTTCTTTAAGTCAAAGTTGCAAGTCTTTTATGATTTTGTCAAGTTGAGCCCAAAGTCATCAGAATTGTGACACAAGTGACACAAGTCCACATCTCTGACTACATTTGCCTTTTCATGTTTTAGGTTTTCCCGGTCAGACGAGCTGTCTCGACACCGGCGTTCCCACTCAGGTGTCAAGCCCTACCAGTGTCCAGTCTGTGAGAAAAAGTTCGCCCGCAGTGACCACCTGTCAAAACACATCAAAGTCCATCGTTTTCCACGAAACAGCCGGACAGTTCGCTCAGCAAACTGACGCCCCCATTCAGATCACTGGCAATGCTGGGATCACATAGCAGACATAGGTTGCAGGAGCATGGGGTGCGAACGTGAACGTACAGGTGTGTGCCCAAATGTTTGCACCATTGTACAGTCAGTTTGAATATGTGAGCAGAAGCATGCCTTGCTTTTTGTTTCAGCTGTCTGTGATTGTTCTAATTTATTGTAAAAAAGTAAACCAACAAAGTGACCATCCTGTCTGTCATCAGCTAAAGGTTGTTGTTGCTGTTGGTGCTTTGGTATGTTGTACTCCTTATGTTTGTTCTGTCCTTATCACCTGCCTCAGCAGAAGATAAGATAAGATTATTTTCATTCAGCCTGGATTATGTGATAGCTTTGCTAATAGTCTTGCGTATCCATTCTACCCGGATCAAAACAATTGCCTTTTATCTTCTTGAAATCTGCCAATGTCTCGGACATTCCTCATCTTATGCAATGTTTGGGAAGCCAGAGGAAGTTCATTTGGATTCTCATTAGCTACTACTGGAGTAGTTACTCTGCGCGGGTCCACAGAGGTTTCTCCTGTGAGGTTTTTCTGATAGCTTTGTCCTAGTTTTTGCTGCCTTGCTGTTCATTGACAGTATGGTTGAAGAATACCTTTATTATTCAACTTGGGGTTGATGCACAGAGAGAGACTGGAGAAATTTCACGGTAAACTACCAGGGCTCCTCTTATATTTAACAGCAACTTTATAAACCTGCTGGGTCCTGAGGATAGGAACAGCAGAGCAACACAAGAAGTGACAGTAACAAATGTGAAATGCAACTAAAAGGTGAAGCGCACAGTCATTGTTCAGTTGGCCTTGATCAGTGTTACATGATCTGTTTTATGAAGCTAATTCATGTGTATCTACTTGCTGACCTTCTATTTGGATTGCTTTTCTGGCCTTACCGTACCACAAAATCCTTAGTGGAGAGCCAAGTGGTTTGGAAGGTTAGGCCTTACAGTGATCCATATTTTAGTGGGGTGTGAAAGTGACAGTTTGGATTTTTTGAAGTGGGGTTGTATGGGGTACTTATCCATAGTGTATGACATACAGTAGATGTCAGTCAATGTACTGCTGTGGAGAGGTCAGCAACAAAATGTATTTTAGCCACCAAAAAAAAAATCCCACCTAAAAATCAATATCAGATTAAATGTATGCTATATTATTTTTTTTTGGCATTATCTGATATGCTGATGTGCAGTGACTGATAATCAATACCAATATCGATACATCCACTTTTTTTCCCCCATCTAATTTTAGTGACCTTAAATGTAGTGGAATTCACATCATATTATGCATGCATACTCTCCTGATGATGAATCCATTCGGATGACCCACCAGCAGATGGAGACATGAAATAGAATGCTTTTCAATGTATGTTATATTGATTCACTGTGCAAAATGAGAAAATGCATGTTGGCTGATGCTGATAGGTCATTTAAAAGCTGATATGGGCTGATACCGATGACATGCCGATACTAACATGCATCCCTGATTGAGAGTATTTTCACAAATTTACCTTGATGTCAGACAGTGATTTCCAACAGGGAAATTAAGCCGTTTTGTTGCTCTCTTCAAAGCCAGACTCCATTGAGGAAAACAGTGATTTAATATCACTGAACACAGGAGCTGCTGGTTTTCCCTTGCCTCGAACTGGTACTTAGTTTGTGTTATTGTGTGACTTCAGTGTTTAAAGAGGTTCCAATTCACCAAAGTCACACAATAACTCAAACAAACTAACTGATCGACCAGCAGCTCCTGAGTTCAGCTGCTAAAATGACTGTTTTTCTCAGTGGAGTCTGGTGGCTATGATGAGAGCTTAGATGTGAAACTGAAGCCATAAACAGCTTTCCCATTGGAACTGGCTGTCTGATGGGAAGGTAAAGCAGTGAAAATACTCATCGTGTCTGTAAGGTGGGACTTTTTTTAGGAGGTTAAAATGCGTTTTTTTGCCCGCCCCACAGTACATTGCTTAGTTTCCGTTGCAGTACTACTGCCTGCTTCTCAAAACTGAGGCCATGCCAACAGACATCTAATGTAGATAATATACTGATTATGGATAAGTACTCCATACAACCCTGCTTCAAAAAAATACAAACTATCCCTTTCAGTGACGGTTAAGGAGGTGTCATAATATGGCCCATGTCAGTCAGTTCATACCCACGGAACTGAATGTCTCAGTCTGCTATTACTATTTGAACAATTATTTTGCTGACGACTTGACACAAACTCTGCCTCAGCTCTGCTTTATCTGTTACTGAAGACACCCTGACAGCCTTTGACCTCAGCCGGCAGTAACGTTATTTTGAGGTGACATCAGCGGACACACTACACACCATGGTGCTGAACTACCAGGACAATGAGCTTCTGGGAAATGTAGTCACAACATCCCTTTTGAGGCCATGATACACTTTGTTATTGCTCTCAAACATTGTCTGCTGTGTGTATCATGCCCCGCTGTGAATATGTAGGGGCGTGATGATGCCATCCATGCCTAATTCATGTATGTAAACAGACAACAAGCAGGGGTACACAACATTGTACATCATTCCTTTCATTCAATTTTTGAATTTTTAATGCTTGTGTGAACACAGGTGTTTTATTGCATCCTATGAATGTATGTAAATATGCAGGAGTGTACATTGCTGCATCCAGGAAACACACAGAGACTATTCTGATACCATATCTTAAAACAAATCAGTGGTTGTGAAGATTTCTCGTGTAAACCCTAAATGTGTACATAACGTAACGTTTCAGTACATATGAATATATTATATTTTTTCTTTATTCTATCCAAGATGCATTTACAAATAAAACTGAAAAGAAACAAACATGTCTGCATTGTCTTTAATATGTTGTGCATTACCCTTGAGCAACAAACGGAGGTTTCGAGGGTCAATCCCTGATCCAGCCACACCTATTTCATCGTATTTGAGTAAGTGTATTAGTCTCTACTTGCTCCAGAGGCAACACAACAAGCTCAGTGTATCACACACAATACAGCCAAATGTTACCTTGGACTCAGCAATGAAGTGATTGGTTTCTGGTGGTCAAAGATCAAGGTCAGTGTGACCTCACAAAACCTCTTTCTGGCAGTAACTCAATAATTCATTCACACTAATGTTTAATAGGATATAATGATGAAGTGATGATATTTTACACCCAAGAGGTCAAATGTTAACGTCAATGTGACATGATATTGTTCTGAAAAAACACTTTTCTGGTCATTACTCACTGTCATATCTCAGGAACAGAAGGGGAGACATTTGGTTAGATACTTAACTGATGACACTAATCTTGGGTGCCCACCTGGAAACTGCTGTGTAGATCAGGGGTGTCAAACTCATTTTAGTTCATGGGCCATATACAGCCCAATTTGATGTCAGGATAGCAGTAAACCATGATTGTTTGAGGGCCAATCAGAAAAGCCAATTAGATGGCACAAAATATGCAAAACAATGTCTCTACACGCTGCTAAAATAGCTTCTCTGGTCTGGCAGTTTTGACAAACTGTAGCTCACATTGAAAATTCACTGTCACAATTTAGAATAAAGAGGCTGAAAAGAAATTGATGGCTGAACGACGAGAGCACCCTTATGTGGTAGTATTCAATTTAAAATCCTTGCTTGTCCCCGACTCTGGCTACTTAAAGTAGAGATCATAACTTAATTGCGCATGGGGATACTTTTATATAGCAGTGGTGATAATCATTTAGCAGCAATTGATTTCAAAGAAACACTGCCACAATATACACATACATATACAGTACAGGCCAAAAGTTTGGACACACCTTCTCATTCAATGCGTTTTCTTTATTTTCATGACTATTTACATTGTAGATTCTCACTGAAGGCATCAAAACTATGAATGAACACATGTGGAGTTATGTACTTAACAAAAAAAGGTGAAATAACTGAAAACATGTTTTATATTCTAGTTTCTTCAAAATAGCCACCCTTTGCTCTGATTACTGCTTTGCACACTCTTGGCATTCTCTCCATGAGCTTCAAGAGGTAGTCACCTGAAATGGTTTTCCAACAGTCTTGAAGGAGTTCCCAGAGGTGTTTAGCACTTGTTGGCCCCTTTGCCTTCACTCTGCGGTCCAGCTCACCCCAAACCATCTGGATTGGGTTCAGGTCCGGTGACTGTGGAGGCCAGGTCATCTGCCGCAGCACTCCATCACTCTCCTTCTTGGTCAAATAGCCCTTACACAGCCTGGAGGTGTGTTTGGGGTCATTGTCCTGTTGAAAAATAAATGATCGTCCAACTAAACGCAAACCGGATGGGATGGCATGTCGCTGCAGGATGCTGTGGTAGCCATGCTGGTTCAGTGTGCCTTCAATTTTGAATAAATCCCCAACAGTGTCACCAGCAAAACACCCCCACACCATCACACCTCCTCCTCCATGCTTCACAGTGGGAACCAGGCATGTGGAATCCATCCGTTCACCTTTTCTGCGTCTCACAAAGACACGGCGGTTGGAACCAAAGATCTCAAATTTGGACTCATCAGACCAAAGCACAGATTTCCACTGGTCTAATGTCCATTTCTTGTGTTTCTTGGCCCAAACAAATCTCTTCTGCTTGTTGCCTCTCCTTAGCAGTGGTTTCCTAGCAGCTATTTGACCATGAAGGCCTGATTGGCGCAGTCTCCTCTTAACAGTTGTTCTAGAGATGGGTCTGCTGCTAGAACTCTGTGTGGCATTCATCTGGTCTCTGATCTGAGCTGCTGTTAACTTGCGATTTCTGAGGCTGGTGACTCGGATGAACTTATCCTCAGAAGCAGAGGTGACTCTTGGTCTTCCTTTCCTGGGTCGGTCCTCATGTGTGCCAGTTTCGTTGTAGCGCTTGATGGTTTTTGTGACTCCACTTGGGGACACATTTAAAGTTTTTGCAATTTTCCGGACTGACTGACCTTCATTTCTTAAAGTAATGATGGCCACTCGTTTTTCTTTAGTTAGCTGATTGGTTCTTGCCATAATATGAATTTTAACAGTTGTCCAATAGGGCTGTCGGCTGTGTATTAACCTGACTTCTGCACAACACAACTGATGGTCCCAACCCCATTGATAAAGCAAGAAATTCCACTAATTAACCCTGATAAGGCACACCTGTGAAGTGGAAACCATTTCAGGTGACTACCTCTTGAAGCTCATGGAGAGAATGCCAAGAGTGTGCAAAGCAGTAATCAGAGCAAATGGTGGCTATTTTGAAGAAACTAGAATATAAAACATGTTTTCAGTTATTTCACCTTTTTTTGTTAAGTACATAACTCCACATGTGTTCATTCATAGTTTTGATGCCTTCAGTGAGAATCTACAATGTAAATAGTCATGAAAATAAAGAAAACGCATTGAATGAGAAGGTGTGTCCAAACTTTTGGCCTGTACTGTATATCTGATGATCACAACTGCTGCATGACAAGGTTAGAATCTCTTAAAATTACTAATAAATTGACGTTTTTAGACTCTGGTCAGGTTTGGTAAGTTTACATGTCAAATGGTATGACCCTAGAAAAACAATAATTCATAAAAATCATTAAAATGAACGTTTACTTTAAAAATTATGTTTGAAATATTGAGACTAAGGCCATGTGCTTACACAGGTGCCCATGGTAATGCCTGTCAAATTTGATTTTAAAATGAGATGTCAAAGTGTAACCGGTTACACCATTTGACTCCTATTAAGAGCCTTTCTGTTATAGGCAATTATGTCAAATATCAGCAGTTTATGATAGTAATTTGTTAGATATCAGTAGTTTATGATGCTAATTAAAGATGTATTATAAAAAAACTCCTTTTGATCTTGTACAGTAGCTTTAAAATACCTAAAAATCCAATAATTCATTTAAAGTAGAAATGTTACTCAAACATTAAAATTTCTGTCTGTAAAATACAATTATTTACATTTCTGCTATTTCATTACTAATGTATTATACATTTATAGAAAACTAAATTAATCAAACTAAATAAATAAAATCAATTTTCCCCATTAGATGCCAGTTTCTAGGAGGGCCACCTGACAAGCCCTAAGGGTTTTCTTTTGGCTCCTCCCACACACTTTTTTTTTCTCTTTTAAGTCATTGTTTTTTTATATGTGTCAATACTGTATGTATTCTGTTTCTTCTTACTGACATCCTATACTCTTTTTCTTGTGTGCAAATAAAAAAAACAAAAAAAAAAAACCAAGGAAAAAGTGGCTCGTCATAGAGTGCTAATGCAAATGAATGCTAATGATGCAGTAAGGGCCAGTTACGTCCTTACGAGCTGTTGTTGTCGGGTGACTTTTTCCCTTATCAGAATTTAAAACACAAAACATGAGACATGAGTTAAATTTTAAAATTAAATGATTGTTGTTAGCAAAGAATTTACAGTAGAAGAAATTAATTGTTGTCAGCTGTTCCTTTTTCTGAACTTCCTCTCTCATTAAATTTTTATCAACCATATTCACAATAGTAGACCAGTTCACCCTTATGAGTTGTTGTCAGGTCACTTTTTTCTTATCAGAACTTAAGATACAAAACATGAGTTAAATTTTAAAATGAAACATGATTGTAAAATATTTTTTTCAGCAAAGAATTTACAGTAGAAGAAATTAACTCACTGTTGTTAGATGTTCTTTTTTTCTGAACTGAAATAACATGAAAAAAACAAGTTCACTTAACCTTGTTGACTGTCATATTTGATTTTCTGTGACAATTCCTTCACCAAACAGTGGTGTTTGACTGTAGAAGGAACATGGTCAGGCAGTGTATCAAATTTTTATGAAAAATACCAGTTACACCAATTGACACAACCCAGTGTCATTTGGTGTATTTTTTCATAAAAATATGATTATATACAGGAAAATAAATGTCTAGTAAAATGTGGAATAAATGTAATCCACTTTTGCAGTGCAACACTGTGTTTTTTAACAAATTTTACATAATTTGTCATGCGTTATTTAGGAAAAAAATGGTGTTTTAGGAAATGTCCTGCTCAGTATTGCCAAAATGCATTAAAATTTAAATATAGAAATACTCCAAAAATATCTTATTTCAATTTAATGCTTTTGAAATAAAGATTTTTTTTATAAGTACACTTAGATCTACTATAGGTGGATAACCCCGTTAAAGGGTTTTTTTTGGGGAGTTTTTCCTTATCCGCTGCGAGGGTCATAAGGACAGAGGGATGTCGTATGCTGTAAAGCCCTGTGAGGCAAACTGTGATTTGTGATATTGGGCTTTATAAATAAAATTGATTGAATTGATTGATTGAAAATATTTTATATTTATCATTCTTTCGTGGTTACACCATTTGACATTTTCAGGAGCATTCAGTCTTACTTTTCATAAAAAATGGTGCAAATGTCATTTCAAATGACATAAAACCAACAAAAATACAGAATATACATTTTAACAAATCTGATGCATGCTTTGAAAACTATTTTTGAAGATATTTCTGAATTGCTCATCTTGCCAACCCTTATTTGTCACTGACCCATATA